CATAGTCAGAAACAAATTGTAAGATTCACTGTCATTTTCCCCAACGAGAAACGTTTGCTTTTCGTTTGTGACAATTGTACCATAGGGTACGTTTTATATGCATGCAAACGTTTCAATTACGTGAAAAGTATTTTTTTCTGTAAATTTTCATATCCAATTCAATTAAAAAACATGTATTACATTCATACATATATTTTTCTCAACACGATTCATTTCGTTTGTGGTTTCGTCTGTAACTACTGAACTACTGTAGTGTACTATCGCAAAGTGAACTCAGCCGTTTTGTTTTCGTATTGTACCGAACTGTTGAAGTAATAAACGAAACGAAATAGTAACGTACAATATAGTTTATTTTCGTACATTGCTAAAAAGTAATTTATGTATACGTCTGGCTGCAAATATTATGCTATATTTTATTAAAAAAATCTTTGTCTTTTCTTTGCAGGCTTTTGGGAAATCAACAGCCCAAAACATTATACTTCCTAGTCGATGCCAAGAGTCGAGTGAGAGAAGTGTACACACAAACATGCCTACATTTTGCAGCGCAAGGCATGCTCGATACAGAATTGTTCGGTTTGGCGGTGCTCATAGGTAAGTTAAAAATTTGTGCTAACTAGTTTCACACGTTTAAAAAGGCCAACTCCTGCATATGTACATATTTATGCATACTTATCACTACGGAAGTATCTTTAAGGTACATACTTAATTACATTCATATGTACATTTACATATATATGGGCATATTTTACTTACTTTACAACCCGTTTTTGATTTTGGTGATTACAGATAGTTTCGTAGGTATATGGTCAAAATCGCTATAACTGTTGGGTATTTTTCAAAAGAAAATATATTATTATAAGGTTACTTTAGTGTATTATCCGATTTGAAACGATACCCGCTCGTTGTAATCCCAAACCTATCTAAAAAAAACCAGCGAGTCAAAGTGATGATTGAGCATTGTTTGTTTTGCACGCTGCATTTCCTGCACCGAATTTGTTTGGACAATGAGCACGAATCTGGAGTACGTTTCGCTCCATCACGTCAGGACTTCTTTCCAACCTCAAAATACATGGAGGACTTTAGGTGACAGACAAAATTTTTCAAATATTCATGGATTTATTTTAATCTTGGTATTCAGGGGTTTTTGAGCACGCTGATTACGAATATGAAAATTGAAAATGACGGATCGAATATGGCAGTCAAATTGTGAAAAAAATTTAATTCTTATAACATTTGATGCCTTTGACCACCAAGTTGGATACGCCATTTTGAATTTTGAAAATGTGATTTCATATTCGTAACCAGCAACCTCAAGAACCAATACATACCAAGATAAAAGTAAATCCGTCAATATTTATAAAAAAATCGTCACATAAAGTTTGCCATGCTTTGTGACGTGCTGGATAATAACGGACTTCAGATTCGTGTTCAGCGACTTTAAAGACATATCGAACTCCTAATGTTATTTATTTAATTTTGTATTACTCTGTTTTACATTAGGTACCGAGCTTGAAAACTGAGTTTCCATTTTTTTACTTATATTTCAAGGTTCAAAGAATAAGATGAAATCGGTTAGATGAGTGTGCCACAACTTTTTTTTCAAATGTCGAAAATCAACAGTTCTAGAGATATGCCCATATATATATATAATTATATATAATTGAATTTTTGAAAGCTGGGAATTCCTAAGCCTTTTTACAAATAATAGCCCGAACATAATGAAAACGACGAGCTACGGACCGCAGCTGTCAAATTATTTTAACACGTTTTCTTATGTAGATAATTATTTTGGCAACGACCGGGCTACGCGAAGACTGTGGTTGTGACTAGATTAGATCTATTTCTATTTTTCCAGCGAAAAATAAGGTTCTTCCTCTTCTTTTATATCAAACTCATACAAAAAGATGATGTCGCTGCCGCGTTAAAAAAAAAACCATGTCCTCATCGACAAAGCGTTTAGATAATGAAGATAACAAATTGGAAGCTGTGGCCCGTAGCTCGTCGTTTTCAATGTGTTCAGAACTTAAGGTTTAGATGCTAAGTATATCCAAAACTTGTATAGTCCTGAGCGAAACCTTTTCGAAAGCTACAGCAAAGAACGTGATTTAGTTGTTTTTAGCTCGTGCCTAAAAAAAAATTTTACATACATACGTACATCTATGGTTTATGAAATAAAATGAAATGAAAAACAAATAAGCTAAGTTGAATTGAACTGAACAGAATTGAGCTGATGTGAATTTAATTAGTTAAATCAAATTAAATGAATTAAAAAATATTAATTCTAGAAAACCGTTTTTTTTTATTTTAAAATTAAAATGGCAACATTCCTCAAATCGAGACCCCGTAAGTGCAAAGCATTTTTTAACATCTATAAAAATATAAGAATTCAAATTTCAGTTATAAATTTTAAACATTTAATTTTTCACTCTTGGTGGTATTTTGAACTCTTTGAAGAGTTTTAAAAAAATGCATGTACAATACACATACTTGCCGATACGCGTACATTTATGTATGTATACATACTTCAGTTCATACATACATATATGTATGAATGTAGGTATATATGTACATGCATACATACATATATCAAAATGGCATGCACAACGTGACATCGTTTTTTTTTGTTCCTTTGAACCGAAAATGTTGCAAGTTGCAAGTGTTCTGCTGCAGAAAACATTCTACCTTCGAAGCCATGCGATGCATTCCTGTCGTACCATTTTCCTGCCACGCACGTATAAATACGTTTACGTACATTTCTACATACGACACACATAGGTACATATGTACATACATCAACAATTTCTTACATTCAGTCTCCATGCAA